ATAACACAATATCGTAGTAAACCTTAAGGAGGGTTTTGCGTTCTCACCCAGTTACAGCTGGCACGCAAACTGAGTCTTGCTGAGCCGCGTCCGCCTCATCCCTCGAGAGTGAAGACATCGGCACCAGATGTCGATGAATCCCGGACATCCCTGCTGCCAGAGGCGTATCAACCATATGCAGACTGACTCACATCAAATGGTTGATGAAGTCAGCTGTGGTGTGTCGCGGCCTGAGCCGTGATAGATCTGTTTCATTAAAAGATTATGCTCATTATCAGCTGTCTTTCAATGCCGTGGGTCCTAATACGCACCGGTTGGGCGTAGGCGTACTGCCGCGCACTTTGACCCGTTACCGCGCACATTCCCACCCTGCCTGAGAACCCATCTCTGACCAGAGTGAGAGAACAGGCACCACCATTATCCTTGACAGTTCCCACTGACCTGTAAGTACTGGCAGGCGGGATTTATCATGGCTGTGCCGAGCTATAACAAGCCCCCCCCCCCCCCAGGACATTCGTCCCGTGTCAGAAATTGCGGGCACCTCGGTAGTGCTCTTTAGACCTCGGTCGGCTACACCTGGCTGTTTCTCAGGGTGTTTCCATCCAAGAATTTGGGTCAGCAACGACTGGCCTCGCCGCTCACTTTTTTCAGCCTTTACAGGGCTAGACGTCCTGCTCCCAGTGGGCCCGAGCAGTGCTGGGTCCCCGCCTGAGTCCAGAGCCTTACCTTGATTTTCAGGTAAGCCGTCGCAATTACGGGAGTACGATTCCCATAGTGAGACATCGAACGATGTTATGAATGAGAACATAGGTACTTACGTAACCCCAGTTTCTCGGGAGTAACATGAAGTGAGATGTCTCACCAGACGCCTCCTTGGCCATGGGAAGCGGGAAGATGGCCTTATTTGAATGACGCATGTCGTGCGCAAGCACTAGGTGATTCCCTGACATGACGTCGAGATCACCCGCCCAATCAGAATTGGCGTAAATGAGAGATTGATGCTTCTGTGCTCCCGCGATGAGGCCATCCCATAGTGAACATCCCACTTCATGATTGACTCCTGAGAACTGGGGTACGTAAGAACCTATAGTTAATGAATATCTCATATGATCAGCGGTTAGCACTCGGCTACTAAAGGACTGTGTGCGTTTTCAATCCAAGACATCTTACAGTCTTAAAACATAACATCTTCAAGACACAGCCACACTATATGATTTGCCGATTAAGTTTTATATATTTAAAGGTATATAAATACAGCTAGTAAGCCGCAACACTATAATAAATATGGCAAAACTAAAATCATAAACTTCCACAACAAAAACACTAACTTAGACGAGTGATTACCGTATCTAACGTACATCAACATTAGTATTAAGGTGGACAGTCAATTATTATGCGGTTTTTGTGATTTATATTAGCAGAAAAACGTAAAACTTTAGAGAAAATGAGGGTCAGTAAATAACTGTTTTACTCCGTTTCACGTTTGTGTTCTTTATTTAAATAATTGAAATTACGCTTGTTTCTTATACTACTGTCCTGGTGGCAAGATAAAACTACGAGCTAGAGGCTTCGGTCTGTTGTATTTTAATCCAAAAGAGCTCCTAAATCTAACCCTATCGTCTATGCCTTGACCTCTAAGTAAAACTCACGGGAGTAAGGAAGTGGATAGAGAATCAAAAAGGATTTAGGAGAAGAACTGCGATACTTTAGAGCCAGTGTTCCCAACCGGGGTACGGCGTACCTCTAGTGGTACGCGAGGAACTGCAGGGGGTACGGGAATCCAAGGTGACAAGTAAAACAAATAATACTATCCCGTAAAAAGATAGTGCGCGATTAGTCCCTAGGAGACAATAGTCTGTGGCGACAAACGCGGGTACAAGCGCCGAGAGGGGTTCTTCCGCAGGTGGCTGGTGTCCCTAGGGATATAGGTGAGAAGTTCGGTCATCTCAGGAGGACTCGGAGTTGAGCAGCTCTCCTTCGCTCGAAAGGAGCCCAGTTAGGTGGTGCGGCCGACCTATTACGGATGCCACCTGGGCGCCTGCCTAGGGACGGGTTCCAGCCGTCAGCTGGGAGAGACCAAGGGGTAAAACCTAGAACCAGAATGAGGGATTATACCCTTCGCTGCTGCGCACTTGGGATCCCCAGTCAGAGCTGGTGATGTGCAGGGAAAAGAAAGTTTGGGCCTCATCTGCGAACTGCTACCTCCCGCGAGCCCGACCACGGATAAGCGGGAGAAGATGAGCTGGCAACCGCGCCAAAATCCCACAAAGGAAAACAGCAGCTGCTTACCTGCAGCCAGAAAAATACTGGTAGTCTGCGCATGGATAATATGGTGAAACGTCCGCTTACCTCTGGATTCAAGGCCAGGTGCAGAGGAGCCTGCCGGAGAACGTAAGAAAGAGGCCCCAAACTGAAACCAAGGCCGGTACAGTGAAACATGTAATGTATTGATTCATTTTACTTCTCGGACCCCACCGCAGCCTCACGTGCTCTTGCGGTGAACATGCTAATAGTGCATGAAAGCCAGCGCATTTACAGAGAACAGCCAGAGCACCAAACACCGGGAATTCGATAAAGTGAAGAATTTTAACAGACGAAAGCTTCGGAATTAGTCGAGCCAGACAGAATGATAAAGCCACAAATGGGTCATAAAGCACTCCCAGCATCTTACGCCGTGCACTGCTGATGGCTTTCAGAGAGCTGCACCGTGCTCTGATGGCTGTTGCTTTATGCTTTTGAACGTGACAACAGAGAAACATATCTCGGACCCAAAGTGAAATTGAAATAAAAAATTAAAGTGAAACTTATGCCGCTCACCCTCTCCCCTCCCGTCCACATTTAATAAAATTATACCAAACTATGATGTATGAACTATGAAAAAGCTAAAATCAACAAATGTATTATATAAACTATCCTTAAACACCTATCACGTGTATCATCACCATCAAACATCTTTTAAAAGTTGAACAAACCACACACAGCGCAGTGAAATGTTGACTTAATTTGATAATTTCAGTAAAAACTGAACAGCATATTCTCTTTTGATTATACACATATATAATAAAAAAGAGAAATATGACTTAGCTTTTTTTTCATCAAGCGTCTCAAACAAAGCAACTTGAGCAACTTACCACTACGTTTTAAAATGTAATAAGCACAGAACTTTTCATGATATAATGTCATCCGTCAAATCAGTTTGTTTCGTCTGAACGGCGACCGTTGGTACGGCAAATGCTTGCGCCTGCAAGGCTTGTGGGGCAGCATTTATCTCCGGTCCTTTCCGGTAAGGAGTCCAGTGTTTCTAAGCTAAAGGAGGAAAGAATTTAAACTCCTTTCGCTATCATAAGAACGGAACGCAACTTATCATGGCTGCCACTGAGAACTCGCGGTCATTTCACTCGTAGGAAGGTTCCTAAACTAAATGGACCTACGAGCTTCAGCCTAAATCCGAAAGTTCAAAAACTAAATGGGCCTCCAGAGGCAGTATATAATTGAGAGCTGTGAATTTGCTTTTTTGGACCCTTTGCGGGTGGTTTGCAGCGTCAAAGGTAATAGAGTATGGGCTATCTTCACAACTACATTTAAAAGGTTTATCAGAAGATGAGGTGTTAAGATGCAAAATGCATCCATACACTTAAATATATACAATGTCTAAAATCAAGAAAGCCAGCTCCGGCAAAATAGGGATTATCTTTTTAAGGATATAACATCAGTTGGCCTATGAGGTGGGGTATATAGACATATTAGCACAGGCAAAAGTACATTTTACTTTGACCTAAAGAAAAAAAACATTGCTGAAGAAAATACCACATCATCCAGTCTTAAGGTCCATATCATGGCCATATTCTACTGATCATCAATTCCCATTGTTGAGGTTACTAGAATAATTTACATGTCAATGTGCCAGAATGAACATTAGATTCTCATGGACAGCAATCTCTGTATAAGTATGTCTGTATTGCACTCTCTGTCCTACAACGGCTTGTGAGCTCCTGCCCCCCCCCCCCCCTCCTATGACCCACTGCTCTCTGATTGGCCCAGTTCTCGCCCACCTCTGTTGTACAGCGAACATCGTGAATATGTACAATGGCGTTAGCAACAGAAAAGGACACCAGTAATGACAAACAGATGAGAATGCTGCGCGGCTCGCTGCTGTGAGGAGGGGACAGTGTGAGCTGTATTACTGGTGTCGTTTCCTTTTTGCTGCTTGGGGTCTGCGAGACAGCGAGACATCGCGAAACTCAGCCTGAACTCAGCCTGAGCACCATGGACGCGGGAAGGGGGAGTGTTGAGCGGGCTGCAGCACCCCCATATGCGAGGCTCCACTAGCACCCGCACCCCCAAACGTGGGGCACCTACAGTGTAACGGAGCTTACACACGGCGGCGTGCGTTGAAGCTTCAACGCTTCTGCCCATTCACTTTGAATGGGGTGACGTCACGCTTCGCCGAACTGCATTGTGGGAGCAAAGTGTAGCTTTGCTCGTATTGCTCGCTTCAAAAGTAGAGCAATGTTCTACTTTTGAAGCTTCGACGGAAGCGTCAGCCAATCGAATCATATGCCAGTACAAGCTCTAGCCAATCAAACCACGTGCTTGTGTGTCCGGGGCGGGAGATTCATGTGATTGGTTGTTGGTCGAGCGTCAGACACGCCCGCCGGCAAGCTTCAACGCACGCCGCCGTGTGTAAGCTCCGTAAGCGCGCCACAGTTTCGCCGCTGCGAGGCTCCACTAGCACCCCCCCCCCCCCAGCGCGTCACAGTTTCGCCGCCGAGAGAGAGTGTGTGTGTGGTGTGTGTGTGAGGAGCTCCACGGATTGGTCCATTTGGACCAATTGGTCCATTGGGTCTCCAACGGGGCGTTCTGGGGCAGCATAGACAGGTATTTTCTGTATTAGAGTTTTACTCGCTACAGGGTGTACTTTGAGGGTTTGTGACTTTGCAGACCGTTTACATGCAGAAAAAGATACATAACACACAAGGGGAAGGGTAATAACCGGAAAAATTATGACATGGGACCTTTAAAGGTAACGTTATTATATCATATTGAGCTGAGGAGTTAAATTCTAACAGTCCGACCTTTGGGGTAAATATGATTTCTTGCTTTCTTGCAAAGACAATGCATAGGCCTATGTCCGTCCATTGAAGTTAAAGACAAGAGACAAATACTGGAAGCAGGAAGAAAATAGGTTTAACTGGACGCCTGGCTCAACAATCAATTTGACTTTAATAAAGGAGACGGCTGTTTATTTCCCGTTTCAAACTTTCAAACAGTCGACATCGTTGTTAAATGCATGAACACAATCGTACCCAAGTCTTAAACACATGTTTATTATTGTAACTATAGTGACAAAGGTCCCCTTACTTTGAAAACTGATTTTAATCTTGAAACCATAATCTTCTCCTAAATCATAACTGAACCTTAATCATATAGCGTCATCACATCTCATGTGTTTATTTTCCATCAGTGATTTGTTACAGTTTTAAAAGGCACAGAGATTATGATTTTGATTATGATTTCCTATCAAAAAGGAGTCGGATCAGAAAAAAAAACAAAAAAACATTGAACATCTATCTCTTGGCAGGAAAGTGAATGTGTTTTTCCTAAAATGTCAAGCTATTCCTTTAGCATTACCCCAAATAAATATTAAAAACTATAGTGTTTGTGATATGAGAAAACAAACAGACATACAACCCTTTGTGGACGTGACAAAACAAAAATAAAGAGACACATTACAGTGCTGTTGCAGCTGCATTTACAGTAAAGGCTCCCACACTCATTACAGTAATCACATTTCCAAGGAAGGTCAAGTGAGTCAAAATCCCTCCATTACCACGGGGTGGAGGACGATAATAACAACTTCTTCAAGTCGCTGGTTCTTAAGTTGGCAGACGTTTCTCTCTTCCTTCAAGCTGCCGGGCAGACTTGCAGCTGCTTTGCATCTCCCTGCATCTCGAGAGATGAACAGTCACATATTTTCTCAGCACGCTGGCATGGCTAGACCGCATTACAGCACACACTGAGGCTTCCACAACTCCATACACACTTCTTTAACTTCTCCCCATTGCTAGAAACAGGAGGGAAGACACTTTTTTTTCCTGCCAGTCTACCCTCAAAGACTGGCCCAACTACTGTATAGCAGACTCAAAAGTGTCAGTTTGATTCAGACGAGTACAGTTTAAAGTAGTTTGAAGCGTCTGTGGAGTAAGGAATGGAAAATAATGGATGCTTTTATAGTGTTTATAGTTGAATAAATCACATTTCTGTAGAGGACTGGCTGTCTCAAGTGGATATTGTTCAGCTAAGTTAAAGTACTCAACAGTTGGGTTGTTTAAGAGTGTATTCAAGTTTTTTTTTTACACTCCTGTTGTGAGGAACACAAAGTTCTAATGCGAGCACTGTAGTAGAAATGTGTTCTTGTGTGTGGATGCAACCACAGCCTGTGAGTGAAGCGATTCATTTTTTAAAGGGAAAAAAAGACTTATAATTGAATACTAAATGCCATATTGTGGAATGTCGACCTGGCATTTTAGACACAAACGAAACAAAAACAACAAAAAACACTCCAAACGGTTTGCATGGAAAAATAGCATAAAACTTCTTACAAGGCCGTTAATGGTTTCCATCTCTTAATGCTGTGGTTAGTTTCCATGGCTTATTAATGCAGAACTCTGGACCAGCATCCAATCCTCTCATTGCAGCCCTGGGGGGATCATGACTGCATAAAAATCCACACCTGCTCCACATTGACCATCCTGGGAGCATGGATCTAATTAGCCACAGAATGAGAGTATGGCGCTGCATAGGGGAGGTCGCGCAAATCAGCAGAGCCCAGACACAGTCGAGGAACTGTGGAAGCAAAATAATGTCCAGTCTAGACACCTTTTCCCTAAAAAAAAGAAGTACCTTAAAGTCAAAACTCATTTCAACCCAACCCCCTTCTCCTCCTCTGAGAAGGATTCCAGAGTTGTTGGTTCAGTCTCTGCGTGGTCATGTCTAACAAAGTCTGGACTCCAGCAGGGTGAGCCGAGGCCAAAAAAAAAAAGTCCTGGTTGCTTGAGTAGTCATCCAAAGTTTTAACAGGCTGTCATTCCTCTGATGAAATCTACTGGAGAGTTTTCACACCTTTTCAAACTCTAATGATGGTGTTGGATTCGTTCCCTTTCTGCAAATGGAACATATGCTCACAGTGACATCTGCAGGATTAGCCCAGATTATGAATATTTGAGATGAAAACTGCATAATGTAGTGCCGGTAAGAAGGAGTCGGAGTATTTAAGATGGAATTCCACTCTTTATTTTCCATCAAGCCATAGAGATATCAAACATGTACTCAGTGATGAGAGTCAAGTTAGAGTGCCTTGCTAGCTCTAGCTTGGCAACCTAAATACCCGGTGTTACACTAAACAAGGTCCGTGTAGGAACTGTAACCCAAAAGTGAATTATGGTTAACTAGAGTCACCACACAGGCCCCCCCAGAATTCACAGATAAACAAAGTCCGTGCGGCGGGGAGGAACAACACGCCGACCCCCTCTACTCCTGAGTATGGGGGCAGGCAACACAACTCCTGAACGTGCGGTTCCCGGCAAAGTGGGAACCGGGACCACAGGACACGAACCTGTAACGGGAATCGAAGACGGGGGTCGACCCCGTCGTGGTGGACGGGCCAACACCACCGGCTGCTCCAAGTCCAATGAGCAGCCTTCACCCGGTCCACCGAGACGGTCTCCGCCTTGCCACCCATGTCGACCACCAGGTGCTTGTCCCCCTGCTCCAAAACCCGGAAAGGCCCATCGTAAGGGGGCTGTAGGGGGCCCCTGTGCGCGTCGTGGCGGATGAAAACGTGCCCAGCCGAGCGTAGCTCTGCTGGCACCTGAGACCCCGGCGCGCCGTGCTGAGAAGTCGGAACCGGAACGAAAGCCTCCGCCGCATCTTGCAGGAAAACCCGTTGAGCCGTAGGAGACCAAGGAACTGCTGCCTTGGGTAGGAATTCCCCTGGGACTCTCAGGGGTTGACCGTAAACCATCTCCGCCGTGGAGCACTGCAGATCCTCCTTAGGCGCGGTCCTCAGGCCCAACAATACCCAGGGCAGCTTGTCGACCCAGTTACCGTCCGTAAGGCAGCTGATACTTCGCC